AAAATATTTGATGGAATATAAAATTGACTATATTACACTGAATATGAAACAAAGGAAAATACCAAAGTGCACCAAGGTTTATATAGAACCACAGCAGATCCCTTGTTCCACACTAATGTCATGCCGACATGGATAGTAAATCTAGCAAGTACCAGCAGGTGATATTGTAGTGTATAATTATAATGATATAGCACACCAGACTGATTGGCATTTACTGAACTAATGAGAATATAGAGGACACATGATAATTCTTTGGAGATCAGCCAAGATTTGCGTGCTTGGTGTAGTCACCACAATGTGTCTGAATATGATATTTCAGTATATTGCAGGGAACAAAAGAGATTTAAATACGGTAGTGCCCAAATCATGTTTCCCTTCAACAAATACATATGCAATAATCTTCCAGAATTTATTGGCCAAACCAATTAAATGAACTATTGATCAACTATTGATTAACCACACAATTGTATCTATAACAAAATTCTTGATCGTGATTGGTTCTCTGCACACCGATTTGTCACATAATTAGTGCATGACATATGGGTATCCAATTACAGGTATCCAACTTCTACTTTTTGTAATCTGATACCTGCAATTGGATACCTTCACCAACTGCACATCAATTACATGAGCTTCAATGGCTTCTTTCTTAATTTTTCCTCCAGTTTCGACAACTTATGGGAAAAACTTCTGACTTTTTTGCTCAAAAGAAGTTCTCATAAGCCTTCTCTAAAATCGAAAAATTTGTTATTGACATGATTAATTCATAATAGTGTGGACCTCACATCGGACAAATTTCAGGGAGAAATAGTGCTCATAATTTCAAATCAGCCTCAAGCTACGCACTCAAACAATTTAACAATTTATCGCCTGATTACTCCCTGAATTGTACTCCACTTGGCCCAATTGCCATTAATTACAGAAAATTAATTTTTAGCACATGCTTGACGTAGCTAACCAATGCTGAACAAAAAAAATTGCTACCAATAGTTCTTCTGTTTTACTGTCAGGTTAATTATATGTCTCTCTAGCCAGGAATACAAATTTTATGTTGCTCCAAATACAATACCCTTTTGTGAAGAAAGATTTGACAACTAAGAACAAAGGGGCTTATTTGACAAATTAACCGAAGTGCAAAAGCTCTAATTGACAGAACGTGCCTTAACAGGTAACCCTAACGTTCGACGCCACAATAAATACGACACTAAATATCATTCTAGCAACATGAAAAATACAAGATTTTTCCTCCCATGCGAAACAGAACGGGTCGCAGGCAATTTTAGCAGAGCTCTTTTAACTTTTTTCAACGGGAAATTACAGTTCCACACACATTGTAGGCTTAAACTTACATTTGAGTGGTTCTTTGGAGGTTTACATCTGTTTTACGAGAGTAGAGAACAAAATTTACAAGCTGCTTTTCAACGTAATTTGTACAAATAAGTAAGGTACAAAGGCTGTGGTATGTCTAATTAAACTACTGTCTTTGGTGAGTGATCATTGTGTACACAAGCACGTTTTCGAATTCTGTCGAAGCCCTGATCTGAAGCCTACAGTAGACTCTGAACGGCACCCTAAACATGCGTTTTAAACGCTCAGTTGCTGCCGCTTAGTAAAGGAGGAATATGAAAACACTTACTGGAGTTTTCTTTTCCAGTGAGAAACCCTGGGGACCTTCCTTTGCCAAAGCTCGATCCAAGCGCAGCATGAAACAGAATGATGAATAAGAACATGCGGCCTTCCATGTCGACGTATTGGCCAAGGCTTCCTTCAGGTCGTTTTAGGCTTAAAACTCGTCTTCAGCAACTTGTAAAACGTTTCCTTCGATAAATGGATTGTCGGAAGACATGCTCGTTAGGAAATATTGAAATGTCCTTGACAAAACCCTGATTGTGACCAAAAGTTTTCCCTTCTTTTACGAAAAAACAATCTAAAATAAACCTCACGTCACTCGTATGCCCGCGCGGGACTGACCCTAAACAAACCATGACGTCATTACGAAAATACCTCCCGGAAATGTTCAGGAGTTCAGCGGTTCCGAAGTTCTCAAACGTCACGCGACACGTCACGCTATTTTGAGAATATAGACTCCTGCAGGGACTCCTGCTATTAATTCAAACCAAATACTAAGGGCCGAAGTTTAGACCGGGGTTTACAAAGAAATGTATGCCAGCGGGTGTTGTCCACTGGCATGTTCCGAGACGCGAACAGTTTTCCGAGCAGCCTCTAGGCTGCCAGGCGTTCACTAATTGAACGCCTGGAAGAGGCTATTTCCCGAGAGCGAAGCTCGAGGTAAACAGTAGGCTTCGACGAGCAGATAATTTCTTAGGACAGGAGCATATTTACGTCCTAATAGGAGGCTATTGCGTTTATTATCGTTCAAGTACTTCTCGCGAGATCTTTTGAAAATTGAGGAATATCACGTAGGGATTGTACAGTTGGGCATGAGTCAGTCACGTGACGCGTTTAGATCAATCACGTGCGAGCGCAAATATTTAATTCACGGATATTTTTCCGTTGACGGTATCTAATACGAGATGGAAATAGTGAAACAGAAAATCAGTGCTATTCAGTTTAAAGCAATTTAGATGGGATAATTAGTTGGCCCGATTAAAAGCCCGATTATGAGTCGTGGTAAAACGCAGCCTGTTGTAGTCCACTGGGTCGGATGGGGTTGTTAACGCTAACCCGGGATTAAAAGTCAACCGAAGTGGAAATTTTTTCTAGTATAAAAATTGTTTTCACTGCTTGTGTTTTGCGCCGAGGTTGAGATTATTCAAACTCAAAACCAAAGGCCGAACAATATAAACAGAAATCCTCAGCGCAAAGTTGCAAAACTCAAATCAAAACTCTCACTTATCCTGGGTTAGCTTAATCGGGCTTTGACAGATCCCGTTAGGAGCAGTGAGGCAAGTAACTTCCCACGCAGACGCTCTTAGACGCTCTTAGACGCTCTTAGACGCTCTTAGACGCTCTTAGACGCTCTCAGGGCTCGTCAAGCGTGACGAGCCCTAAGAGCGTCTGCGTGGGAGGCTATGAGGCAAGTGGCGGGAGATAAAGGATAGGGCCTCCTGGAAGGGGGAAGGGGGGTAGCGTGTTCAATTGATCCCTTGAAAATTTCTAAGGTTCGTAGTGGAATTTTATTGGCATGCTATGGTCTTATGACTTTTGCTTAAAAGTTGCTCAATCGACTAACATTGGGCTGTGACTTTTGCCTGAACCCAGCTGTGAAACTAATGAGTGGTTGTCGTGTCTAGATTCATATTAATGGTATTAATATTCAAAGATCATAAGTAGTAGCAGGGGCTCCAGGTGGTATCCAATGTGGACCAATCACTCAGCATCCAAATTCAACACAGCACATGATCAGCCGTGGAACCGAAAGACAACATGGGCCGGAAGCAGAACTTTCACAGGACTTTACAAAAGTCTTCTTTACTGACACTCCAAACAGGCCAAGCGCGGCTCTAAATAAGTTCTGAAAAGCGAACTTGCTAAAGCTGTCATCATTGTTTGTCTCATTTATTTGAATTAATGAGCTGGAAATGAAGTTAATCTGAAATTGCATAACTTACCTTCACAGCAGTGCACTAGTGATCGACACTGTGGAGTTCACTCTGGGTAGGCACAGTACAGAGTTGCCTCACATCTGTAGCTGTATTTAGATATAGTATTTCACAATATAATTGCAAGCGTGTTGGGAAACTTAGCCATCACGTTTTGTAATAAAAACGATTGTGATAAAAAGACTGGGCTGCATTTCCGAGAAGACACCATACACATATACTGTATATTCGTTAATTCTGGACACAGGACAACCTATTGACAACGCTGCTACTCATAATGGTAAGACTGATGTAGACGACCGTGCATAAGTTGTTTTTATCATAAAACGCAGTTTGAGAAAACGATGCTTTGAGAGAGAATTTAAAGTTTAAGCTATTCTAGCAATATTATTGCAACTTGCCGAAGATTTGCCACGTATTTATACTTTACGACCTCTCTCACGGACGAGAATCGCGCTTAGTGACCTTAGTGCAGTACGAAGAAGGGAAATACATGGGATGCTTGTATTTTTCAATATTCAGAGAGAGTTAGAATATTTCACTATTTTGGAATGTACATGGATATTGTCCTAAATCTGTCGAATGGTTAATAAACCGTGCTGAAATCTTAAATAATTGCTAAGTGCTGCAAAATTGCGAAGAGAGCTCAGCCGATACTATGCACTGCTATTAAAATTACTTCTGTTTATTCGCTTGAAAAGAGCATTTTATCCATCAACTGCTGAAATATTACAGCGCCGAAGAAACAGTTTTCTGCGCAGCCTTTACTTGGGTCGTCACGCAATGCTTCTCCGTTAGGAGAAGCGTTGCGTGACTGAGAGAATAAATACAGGTATTCTGTTTCAGAATGCAGCATGTAGCACACGTCTGCACGCGAACGACTATAAGTTACGTCCTGTTCGTGTTAATGTATGCGACAAGTGAAATTCCGAAAGATAAAACCCCGAAAGCTTTACCAGCATATTACCACGAAATTTTCAGCATTTAGGGAAACATTTTACAGTACCGTGGAATTTAAGCCTGGGTAGCAATAGCCTGGGCACATCGGACACCGTCGCCTCAAAAAAATTAATGGGGGATTTTTTTGGAGGGGGGAATCCCCGATTTTTTTTATGTACACAGGCTAGACAGCAAGCGTTTCCGTACGAACCAAAAGAGCGCTTTTCCTCAAGCTGTCATCGCTCACCCCACCACCCCTCTCCACGTCGATTTTGTGCTCTCATCCTAACAAACTTTCGCGGGACTAGCAACAGGCGATAGATAAATTCAGCTTCTTTGGCCTCCCTTTAAACACCAGTTTATTTTTCTCTCTGTAGGTGGAAAAGCGAAGATTACTGAAATTACCTACACCAGCCGATCGTAAAACGACAGACGCTAGAATCAGTCATCGCTGGCTTCCAAAACCACTGCAGCGCACAAATGAAATCGACCTGACATCTTTCCAAGGGGAGAAACCCAGTTTAAAGCTCAAGACAGAGTACTAAAAATTTTCAAGTGTTTGTCATTTAACCAGTTGTAAAAGGGCAAAAAGAGTAATCGAGGACGGCGGCCTTACTCAACAAAAAATAGTTTTTATTCACCCCTTCTCAACAAATCTTGCGAGGTCACAGGTGTTGGTTTCGTCGCAAACACGGAGAACAACGTCAAAGAGAAATAAATGGCTGATTGTCTTTCACGGAGACTCTGGTAAGTATATCGTAGCTATAATAATTTTATTTGGTTATTTGGTCAGTTACCTCGAATAATTGACGGATGATGAAGAGAGGAATTTCAAGTAAAAACTACGGGTAAAAGAGCGCGACGTTTCGACCGAACTTCGGTCATTATCAAGCTTAAAAGTGAAGATAAAAATTTTTGCATCGGTATAAATGTAAAACAAAGAAGTAAAAGTATGTAAAGTATGAAAATTTAAGAATATTAGAGTGGAAAAAATTTTACGAGGGAGAAAATGAAGCCCTAGAGCCCTCCCCTAGACCAACAGTACAACTCTCCAATCCGTGGTGTATATTGAACCTTCAAGCGCGCTTAGGTAATATCATAAAAGCCTATTGTCGGTAGTTTAAAATATGTCTAGAAGTCTGAGGAAATCTTGTAAACCCTAAAGAAACCATCTTCCTGACAACATTGATTTCTTTTAACACAATTCAGTTGGACAACAGTTGAACAAACGAGAGACATGGGTTGCAGTTGGAGTTGCACATTGCAGTTATAATCTTATCACAACCGTTTTCCAGCCGAGCGCATTAATCCACACCTCAGGAAACAAGACTATAGGTCCTACATTGTTCCCTATATTTTCTTTCAAATCGAAAAAAATACAGTACAGTAAGAAATGATTTCCTCTACAAACCGTGTATACCATTTTGAGCTTACCATTTGAGTATACCATTTTGAAGAATTTATAGTGCGCAAATTTCATTTTTACAATAACTGCCGTGTCTAATTTCTCGCGCGCTGATTGGCTCATTTTTATCATCAATAAGAGTACAGACGGATAAAATTTTAATTTATGCAGGCTTTCAAGTTCAACTTTCAGCTGTCAAACTGTCAACTTTTTAACCAATGAGATTTTATGGACCTTTTTAAGTAGCCAATCAAAAAGTGCGAAAAGCTATTGACAATTCTTGCGTCGTTTTGAATAACATTCACTTATCTTTGTTTACGGCAAGTTTACGGCGTCTTTTCCCCTCGTTTATTCCCGGCATTTGACCATTTTGGGGTCTTGTTATTGTAAAAAACAAATTGACGTCAGTTTTTTATGCGTCTGTCCTCTTATTGATGATAAATTTAGTAAAAACAATGTCAAAGTTTACTGCGGAACCACTCGCCTGTGGCTCGTGGTTCCACAGCCACTTTGACAATGTTATGACGCAATTTATCATCAATAACAGAACAGACGCATAAAAAAACTGACGTCAATTTGTTAAATGAATATGCTTCAAATATTGATTTGCTTTCTACCCTCCAAAACAAGTATTGTAAACAGGAAACCTTCACCCTACCGCGTTACTGACGATGACGTCAACAGATGGCATCATTACATCCTGGATATCACGGATAACGCTAGCACATCTGTGTGTCGCATTCTCGTAACCCCTCGCGTTCACCGCCATTTGATTCTTTACGACCCCACGAAACTGGGAGGGCCCTGGTACTGGGACCTAGCGAATGACGAACATTACTGCTTGCATAGAGTGCTGGGATACGATGGCGCAGAGCGTTCCTTGGTGACCGAATTTTGGCGGGAATCGGAATTCGTTGGCTTAACAGTCCCAGCCCCTGACCGGAGCGTGATAAGTGACATCGGTAAGGAATGCCTACTGTAATAGGCCAATTCCGAACTGCCTTTTGCCTCTGTGTCAACACTGGTATCCCTGCAAAATCATACGTAAGGATATGTGTTCCGCCTACAAGCTCAGTTTTCATGCAAATCAAACTCATTTTCAGCGGGTCTTACTTGTGTGTGATGAAACCAAAACCAAAGCAGTTTCCAATCCGACAACTCAGCCAATCTCACACCGTAGTAAAACCCAAATCAAAACCAAAGTAATTGCCTGATTCTTTCGACTTAAAGTTTTTGCACGAGGACTAGTTTTGAAACAGAGGTACAAGGCAACTCTAAAATGGCCGAATATGGTGCACAATCTGTTTGACCAATCAGAGCATAGATAACGTATTCAGTAATGAACTAGAAACTAATTCAAGCCCTGCTTACTTCGTCGACTGATCTGAACAATTCTGTTAATTACGGTGGAATCCAGATTTTTCAATTCCCCACCACCCNCCCCCCCCCTCCCAATCAAGAGGCAAGAATTCGTTTGAATTTGCGGGAAGAGTTACGAGCCATCGAGAGATAGAGAAATCGAGTGTTAAAATAAAGTGGAGTATATCAAATCCATGTGAGTCGAGACTTGGAGAAATCAAGACTCCACCGTCCTTCGCAAGATTCTCTTGACCGCAATTTATCAATAATTCACATGTCTTGCATTGAAACTGTCTACTTTTTGTCTAACACTTACTCATTATATTTTTTTTCCTTTTTAGAGTTCATCAAGCCTGCAACATCTCGTACAGCTAACGGAGACATTGATGACGCGGAGCTTCATGTTCTCTCCTGGTTTCACAGTCAATCAGAATGTTCTCTCCTGGGTTCACAGTCAATCAGAATGTTCTCTCCTGGGTTCACAGTCAATCAGAATGTTCTCTCCTGGGTTCACAGTCAACCAGACAAGTTCATGAGAAGTCTGGAGGGTGTCAAAGATTTGGCGAAGACTCGCCTTCAGTTAGCCCTACAAGAGGCGCTAACACAGCTTCCATCCATTACTAAACATTTTGACCAAACGTTCGAGGCCAACACCATTTACGCGCACAACGATGCCGTTGCCTCGCTAGCCGCACACTCACCCCCTCGGGGTACTCTTTGTAACGAGGTACAGATTTCAAGCAGTTAAGTTTCTGTGAAAGCGTGCTTGGGGTTACAGTGCCAAACTAAAAGTTTCAGTTACCAAAGGGAATACCTTGTTGGTAATCCTGTGAGCCTGCAATCTCTTTTCCAGTGGCTGAAAGATTAGAAGAAGAGTGTACTGAATATATTATCTTGAACAGCAGAAACATTCAAACAGGAGCGTTGAAAGCCCCAGTATTTATTAACTCGATTCTAATCACTGAGAGCGGCTTTCAATTGAGTGTCGTAACACCAAAACCAAAGTAATCACTCCAGCCAATCACAAAAGACAGACAATCCATTGAACCAATGAAAACTCGATGGCATTACATGTAGCTGAGGCGAAGCGCGGGAAAAGTGTGAGTTACGATTGGTTTTGATTTTTACTTCTGATTGGATGAAACAGTGGCGAGAATTTTTTTAAGCCAATCGTCTAGCGTAGTGATGCAAAACCAATTACTTTTCGACACTCAGTTGAAAACCGCTCTATTAACACATCAAGTTGGTGTGGACGTCCACCGAGTCCGCTTTACCAAAACATTAACTCAATAATTTATTATTTAAAGGTGAAAGAGGCGATTAAAGTACGTGTACCATGCGAGAGCAACAACAGTTTTTGTCTGTTTTAATTTATGACGGCTGTGGGGAAGGTATAGAAACAATGGAGGACTGGGCATATGTGGAAACGAAGAATTCAGAATCTAAAATGTTTGATGAAAGATGTATTTCTCTCCTGTATTGAAAGTCCTTTAGGGAGCTTTTCTATTAGCAATATCAAAAACGATATCTGACTCTGCAAGATCATATATTTGAACTGCGGAGAAAGATATGAAGACATAGATGATCGTTGCAGTTATACACACAACTTAAGCAGCTGTGAAAGTTTAGCCTGAAAAAAAATCAGGCCTGGACGGGATTCGAATCCATGACCTCTGCAATACCGGTTCAGTGCTCTACCAACTGAGCTATCAAACCAACTGGGAGCTGGTCACATTGTGAGTTCGTAATATAAGCGTAGTTGGTGAAGAATGCAAATGAATATATGAAAGATCATATGAACTGCGAAGAAAAATATAAAGACATAGATGATCATTGCAGTTATATACACAGCTTCAGTAGCTGTGAATGCTTTTTTCAGGCTTTAATTTCACAGCTGCTTAAGTCGTGTATATAACTGCGATAGTCTTCATATCTGACTCTCAAAGAAAGACGTTTATTTTAACAAAGTCGTCAGTACCGTTCAAGGCCAGCAGCTTCGTTTTTTCTGCCCTAACTACTCTCTTTTCATAGTCTGAAATGTCAGACTGTTCTCCTCAGGGTGAAAACCTTGAGGTCCCGTCCACATTACCGCATAGAAATTTGAAAATGCAACTTTATTCTACGGTTAGGCCTACCGTCCACAATAATCCGTCACAAAGACGGAGCTTTTGGAAAACGCTCTTCAAACTGGAGGAATTTGAAAACACCGGCTTTTCGTTTTCAAGTGGACGGAAAACATTTTGAAAACTGAACTTTTCGATAACATTGGCGCTACGATAATCATACGATTTTCCAGACCGAGTTTTCCCCAAATACAAATCCCAAATGACCGATGACATTTTCTCTTGTCGATGATTATTGCGTTTTTTAATTCCTCCGGCGTAGTGTGGAAGGAAAACATTTGATGCGTTTTCAGAGTGAAACCTCCGTTTTCAAATTCCTCCGGCGCACTGTGGACGGGTCCAGAGAACTAAAATAAGCGCGCAGGTTCGTTTTGTGCTTACTACCCATAGAATTAGTTGATTTTATTGATTTAGTTTTGCCTACATTCTTGAAACCTACTCAACTTGATAACTGACCTCAAGTTCTTCATTTTGATTAAGTGTTAGTTTTCTATTATGACCTCTTTCGTTAAATAAACGATTGCTCTGAGAGCAGCCATAAGCTGAAAAGATCAGATCGTAAATTAAGTTCTGTTTTGCCCTTATGCGTTGGTTATATATTCGGTTGATTGTATTAGTTTTCTCTTAGTTTTGGTCCGTTAAACGAATTAACACTTGCAAATAGAATTTTTCCGCGGTTTGGAAATTAGCGGAAAAATATTCTCTTGTCGGTATGAACTCTCTAGGGGTTTTGAACAGGGTATTTAGGAGTGGTTTTATGCTAATTCGTCCTCTTGGTGCTCTTTTCTGGAGGTGACTCGCTTTT